TGTTTCCCGCCAGTCATGCGCAGTGGACCTTTTGGCTTTTCCCTGATCTCATGGCGTTCCCGTCGCCGTCCGCGTTGTCGTTGCTTAAAGTCCCTATTGTTACATGTGTAACCCCACTCTAGTGTCGGTCTACATTAGTCTAGTGTCTTGATTTGATTTGATGTTGCGGGTTTTGGATTTCAACGTTTCCAAAGTCAGTTTGCCAAAGTCAAATCCAGTAAGCTTGAGAATACGTCCCTTGACAGTTTTTGAGCTAACCTTTTGATATTTTATCCTGCCAAGTTTATAGTCTATAAAATTTTTGGAATCGTTTTTGTTGTTGTTGTTGTTGCTGTTGTTTTTTCTACTTATTATTCCTTTGCTGTCATTCAGACATACTGTCACATGACAAATGACGACAAAGGATGGACGCTTATCGCTCGATTCGCAAACAACGAGGACAAAAACTGGATGCGTGACGACGGACTCTGGTGGTATGACCAGCACGTTACCATGGAAATAACCACAGATTCATCCGTTGACTGTGACATGATCTCACCGGCGTTTTCGTTGGTCAGGGGCAGAGCCTTTAAGATGACGAGCAGTGATGAGCCGAGTCACACTTCTTTGTTACAGACCACAGGTGACTGTTTGGCTGGACAAACGTTCCGATCAAAAATCACAAGCTATGGCGACTTTAGAAATGGCAAAGTTTGGGCCAGTAACCAGTGTCTGGGAAGCTGCACGGTTCAGTATGGTGGTCAGTACAACTCAATAGACGGGTTTCAACAGGCTGAGTGCAGTGGTGAAATCGAAAGCGCTAGCATCATCGGCTTCTGGTGTGACTGGCTTAATGGTGATGGATCAGTGATGATGATTGGTGGAGGGGGAAGTTCTTGTGCACGTGCTGATCAAGGGAGTGGAATAACAGACGCTAACTCTGCTTCGTTTGTCGAAATGGTTGGAAGCCTGGCAACCGAATATGACTTCGCATCTACGAGGAATGTCCCATCCCAGGGCTATTCTTTTAATTTGTGGACCCGTTGAATGAGAATCATCATTAAAGTGCATATAACCACCACTTTTTCTTTCTTTGAAACATATTTGCAAGTGATTAAGAAATTGTTTTCGATTGAATCGTAGAGTCCCTCTGTCCAGGGAAATTTGAAAAAAAAAAGATATCTTCTTGGTAAAATGAAGCCATTATAATTTGTTTTATGCTGTTAATGGATGGCAATGGGGCCAGCGTCTATTTTTTACATACACCCGACAAAGTAGGATCTGTCGTGTGGAGTAATTTTCTTTAGAATGGCACGATAGATATCGAGAGAGATAGAGATATCCGGTGACTAGGTTTTTTGTTAACTGAGAAGAAAAGTTATAATTTAGAATTCGGAATATAAACCACTGTTGGCTTGAACATGCCACACACCTTTTCCTTAGATTTGCCCTTCAGTTTTATTTTCCCTTTATCAAAGGCCACGGTCACCGTCATTGTAGCCGGTTGGATGGTACTGACAGGAACTGAGATCCGTATAAGAACCGAGTTTGTTAAGATGTATAGATGTCACAAAGCAGAGTTATCCAAATTATAATTAGAAAAAATTTTGGGATCAAAATTGGAATTGCTCACAAACTGCGAGGATTATTTTGTTTCAGCCACAGTTCAGGCACTTAATCAGGCATACGTCAGTGTGGAAGCTATTTAAGAGGCACCCTCTGTAATTTTCAACTATGGCCATTTGGACCAGAAAAAATCAAATTCCTCAAACTTCCTCAGATGAATGGTCTAGATAAGTGATTCACAAAAATACAACTTTCAGTTCAATTCGATTCGTATTTTAG